TTAAATTTGAATAATAACGGTAATTGAATGGCATTTTCAGATGTAAGAGTTAACTTGAGAAGTTAGTCATATTTGTAAAAAGATTTGTGTAAAAGCATACCATCACATATGTTGTGCGTCGTACGGTTGTACACACACACCTAGATGATGGGTTCCCTGACCCCTAAACTATTACCATAATAAAAGGGTTCACATCCGCTTTTTTCACAGTTCTTCAAAATAGAGACCTTGTTTTCTATACCTCTTTTTATTGATTGAAAAAAAAAACCCTCTTTTATTCTGCTTTCACTAATCCCTATTTTGATGTAAGGGCCTGTTGGTGTGATGCACTTCACACATGATTTAAAGGGTAAGAACCTGTTTCAAAGAGTGACATTAGTTAGAGGTCCTGTTTTTTCTGAGGAGAATAGAAGATTAACAAAAATCATTAATTTCAAACCAAATATAAGGCATAATACTGATTTGAAATAACTGAAGTATTTTAGTCCTAAGGAATATAAAAGATGAACTAAAAACATTAAATTCAAAATTTGAAACCATATATTTTAAGACGTAATTGATTTGAATTGAAAACATGCACATGCCAGTAAATTTAAAGAAAATGATATACAGGTCATAAATAAAACTAAACAAGGGTATTCATTTAATTGTTGATGGATTATCGATGTAATACATACTTATAAACAATTAGTACCTTGTATATTTTAATCTTATATTGATATAGCTTTAGGCTCATGATGTCATTGAAGATTAACCAATCGTGCTGCAAGCACCTGCTAATAAATCCCTCTCTAGTCAGTATTATACACATGGCATGTAGTGGTCAGTTTAGATCTATTATACTCGTCTGATTTATCTATTATATACTAGACACTGGTCAGTTATAAGTGTTTAAGATGTCATTGAGTATATGCTGGCCTCGTGAATCAATGTTATGCAATATTAATGGATAGGTGATGTTTTTAAAGGGATAGGAACCTTATTTATTTTTCTGGTGAAGTGTCTTCCCAGAGATTTTGACATTAATTAAAGACAGAAGATAATACCTTGATTAATTTTGCCATAAGTCCACCTTTTTGGTAACTGTCAAATTGATCCTTTGTTGAATCATACTTTTAATTTTGTCAGAAGTAATCTGCTATCTTAGATTTAACAAATTGTATTACTTTGTTTAAATGTCTGGACTGTCTTTAATATTAATTGTTTGATCAAGTAGATCGAGGAATGATGTGACTTTTTATATCTGTATTGAATCCTTCTTCACTGTTAAAAAACAGTGTTGGGGGGGGGGGGGTTGATTCCCAGCTTGAATGTGACAAGGATTAGGGTTGTCAAATATGTCCAACCTTGGTTGTTTGCTCAAAGTCAGGCAATTTTCTTCCACTGCTAAAGATCCCCTATGCTTAAGCAAATTATTAAAATAAAATTGAGACAGCTTCTCTCCCTCCATCTCTCTCTCTCTCTCTCTTATGTCAAATAAAAACCATGCTGATATAATGGATTCGAAAACAAGCCAAAGCTTACATAAATTGATCTCCAGTACAAATTTCAAAGCATAGCTTATATATATTTACATAAACAAAAAAATCAATAAATAAATAAATAAATAATTAAATAAATGACTATTAGCTGAAAACGTGATGTAAGTATTAATAGATACATTGTTATAAATAAATTGATGTGGAATAAAGATAGAAGAGTAAGTAATAATATAGATATATGAGAAGATTAATATAATACAGCTTTAGGCTATATATATGTATAAACATTTATCTGTGTATTATACTAATTACGGTATTAGGGTTACCTTTATATACGGACTAGTTTATTTCAACAACCTATTCAACCATTCAGTTTCTACTGTTTTGGATGTTGTCATGATCAAAGGTAAAAATTACATTTTATCTTGTGTTTTTTTTGGGTTTTTTTAAAAAGAAACCTGTATTTATTTTATAAAATGCATAAAGTGAATGATTCTGAGACATATTCCACCATTTAGCTTCATCTGTTTTGGATGTTTCTCAAACACGAATGTAAAAATGTAGTTGTGTTTAAAATATGTATTCAATTTATAAAATGCATAAAGTGAATAATTCTGAGTTCGACCTATTCAACCATTCAGTTTTGTCTGTTTTGAGTGTTAATCATACACAAAGATAAAAACTGTTTGTTTTTTTTTTTTTTTTTTTTTTAAAAAGACTTTATTCATTTTATATAAAATACCTAAAGTGAAGAATGTTCAAGATTCATGTCTAATTATTTCACATAATATATTTGATGTGACAGACAAACAAATGATGGAGACTGCTAATTGCATAATTACTGAGACAGTATCTGCAGACATGACATGGTTAGTTGAACACAGCATTGTAATTTGTTTGAGCAAAAAAAAAAAAAAAATCTTCAAAGTTTAACCAAAGGAACAAGTACACTTGGGTCAATGAATAGTTGTTTTGTTGGCAAAATTCAAAACTATTTTTTAATTACGATAATTACAATTTAATTCAGATATATATCGATGAATATTTTACATTGAAAACCATTTAATTTGTGATGTCTATAGAGGCTTTGAACATAATTTTACAGAATGAGGTGGATTTAAAACCGAAATTAGTGGTTCAGAAGCTTATGGTTTAATGTCTGCTTCCAGTTTCCACAATAGTGATATTGTAGATATTCAGAGAAAAACTCTGGAGTTAGATATCAAGAAGTTGTAATTTGATTTCATCTCCATTAAAGATAGAACACGTCCATTGAATTAACTGACAGATCGTCGGAAGGATCAAAGATTATGTAGTTGTTAATATAAACAAAAGAACAATTAGGAGGTTTATAAACAAGCAGGACTCTAAAAAAAAATCCTTCAAGTACAATGAGGTGTTAAGAGGATTAAATACTGCCATTGTTCTACTGCGTTTTTCTTACACACTTTCTTCAGTGCTTTAACTTGTGTTATAAAAATAAAAACTGAAATACCAAGAGATCAAAGAACGTAGACATTTGATATTTATATGGAATAATTCTATTGTTGTAATCTCTTCTATTTTTATCCCATATATAAAGCTACTTACATACCTACATAGTTACTTAAATTTATTTAATACTCCCACGTTTGTGACCTCTGTGATACCCATAAACAGTGGCAGGGTCCATGTGCCTCCCCCCAAAACCCCCAAATAACAGTATAAAATATTCGTAAATTTGAGCTTTAAGTTGATTGGGGTGATGTTGTTGATGAAATTAAATGTTATAATCGAGTCCAGATGATGGGCCACAAATCACCCCTGACAACCTCATTTTTCCAAATTTTCTCAGAAGAGGACCCTGACCGTCTTAATATCTGCGTCTGCCACTACCGATGACACAACAGTGGAATAAAAGAAAGTTTTTTAAAAAGTATACAACTTTAATTTCATCATAATCAGGCTTTGTAGAAATATTGATGACGATAGTTTACAACATTGATTACGCTTATTTTCTTCTGGAATCTTTTACAATTTTATACGTACTCCCACATGTTCGTGGACTCTGTGATACCCATTAAACAATGACTGAATGAAAGAAAGCTTTAAATAAAAATGAACGTATTTAATTTCATCATAGAATTTTGTAGAATTATTGATCATCATAGTTTAGAAAATATTGATTTAGCTTACTTTCTTCCGGAATCTTTCTTTCTGTGCAATATTCTTTATTAATTGAAGCATTAGTGCATAGAGACATGTACGTAATGTAAAATGTTATACTTTAAGGTCAAATACTTGCACTAGTTGTCACATGGATTGCTGATTTTACTTTTGGATATTCTAATAGTAAGTGCAGGAGAACTGCACCAAACATGAACAAAGAGAAACCAATAAGACAAACCCGCGGACAAGATACACAATTTACGGACATTGCAAGCCATAAACGACAAATATACTATCAAATCAAGTTCAGATTTCAGAAAATGTGAATCTTTCAATCAAAATATTTTTTTTTTATCTTTTTTTTTATTTCATTGAAATGAATTTTTTAAATGTTTCCTAAGGAGACCAAAAATGATCAAAGTTAATTACTTGAAGTTGATATCCACAAAATCTGTTTGAATCATCTTGACAACGTGAATGAATATTCAAATATTTGTGCTAGTACTAACTTGTACAAATATATAATCATTAATTTTGATCCATAAGAGGTCATGAAGAAGATAAAGTTATAAAAAAAGGTATAGTGTAATTTCTGATCTGTAAGATCTTAATAATCAAATCTCTGTAAATGGGGGAATTAAATGGTATGGGTTCAGATAATCAGACCTGATGAATTTAAAAACAATTTAGCAAATCACTGGAGCGCGTTTGATTGGGTGACTCTGTTCCAGTGGGTGAGTTTAGTCCCTAATGGCTGTGTTAATGAGTCTAACAGATCATAAGACAGTCTGAGAAGGTTGAGATGGTTTAGCTTGGTCTCTGGTCAGTTTAATTGCTTTATAATAATTGAATCTTTAACAACTAAATGAAATGTACTAAGTCCTGTATTTATATGTGCAAATTATAAAAATTCTTATTTTTTATATTTATACTGGTCTGGAACCTGTCTGTTAATCCTTGGATATATTTGTCTGCAGGTGTTGTAAACTCCTGTTGTTATTAGTAATTAGTAAATTCGAATCAATTAAATTTATGATTTAGTCATAAATTTTCAGTCAGTGTATCTGAGAATATGTATGGAAAGTTTTTTTGTTTTACAGAGATATAGCTATTTTATTCTTAAAGTACTTTATATTGACAACTGGGGTAAAATGAAGTAAAACTTTTCTTATATACAGAAGTCTCCTGTTTAGAATTATATAAACTATAAACTATAATCTTGAATCTACCGTCTTCCAAAAGCTGTTTCATATACAGCTTAACTCTTTACCGATCCTTGCTACTCATTGGTTGGTTGGTGGTAAGTGAAGTATACCAACAATTAGGCTAGCTGGCACCAACAGTCAATGTACACCAGCAGAGTAGGAAAGGTTCTGCTATTAAAGACATGTGCAACTACCCCCCTAGCTTTATAGCCGATGTATGGAACTAATGTGGTTGTAGTCAGCTTCTGTGGTTGTTAGTAGTAAAAGACGGCAACCTTGTTTGGATAATTTATTTATTTGAACTTGTTTAAAAGTTTTTATTTAATATAAAACAAGATCAAAAATTTTAAACAGTTCTACGAATTGGTTTTTGTTGCTCAGGAACATTCTGTGTGGATTTAAAGGATAGGAATAGCTGTTGTGAACTTGTTCCAGATTAACTGTATTTTGGATAATATTTCTGCAATTTTTACCAGTTATTCTTTTAGAAAGGATTATATATTAGACAGTAAGAGTCCTGAAAATTTGGATTACAATTTCAGAAAACTTGTGTAAGTATTTGAAACAAAAACCAACATGAGATTATGGTTGAAATACAATGTTTCCGTATAGATAATTAAACATTTTGAAAATTTGGATTAGAATTCGACCCCTAAACCAGAGTATGGTAGAAATACTTGTTTTAAAAAAATATTTCACTGATTGTTATCTGGTATGATCTAATATTAGGTATTATATCACTATTTGAAATGTCTTAAATTCGTTCTTGTTTCTTATTAACTTCCATACCCATAGCATATCCCATTTGGTGCATAAAAATAGGACATTAAACTCCATTTTAATTCACAAATAAATTATTATTATGACATTTTACAGTTTATTTAAAGCAGTATTTCAGAAATAAAAATGAACATGTATATGCATAAAATGTTCATATAATGTTTCGGTGTTTTAACTTTAAATAAAATGTAAACTATATATTCATAATTTAAAGTCTATTGATTATTTCCATTATCATAGTCTGTATCATTTTAATTTTTTTGTCGAAACATTTCAGTGAGCATGAATAAAGACCTGCGTATGTGTAACAAACTCGCGCGCATAATACACCAAAATGAAACTACAATGTCAATAGTTACATAAAATTGAAAGGATACACTAAAAACGTACGCATGTTATGTTTTAAACCAAAGCAGTGAACCAAAACTTGGTTAATAAATGAAACTAGTTATAGTTTAAGAAGTTTGTAAGGTTTCTGATAAACTTTATGGATGAATGTTTCTGCCGCAGATAATGTCTTTATATAAAAGGGAGGAGGTCCCATTATCTCTTCTAACTGGATTCTATGGTTTTATAAGTTCATCAGGTTTAATTTGTCAATAAAATGTAGGGAAATTGAGGAAGGCATGTCGTGTATTTACATCTCTATGATAAGTGAGAGTCAGGTTTATCGTTTGATGATACTCTGCGGCTGCCATTTTTGTACTTGTCAGTGAATTGTGTCATTCTTGATGATGCTTCACTTTCTACTGTTTTTAAGATAAGTTAAATGTCATTGTGATTTTATCTTACATCTGACTCGGCCAAATTGAATTAAATATAAAACATTTGTGTGTAATTTTTGCAGACGGTCTTCCGGTTTTAGTACATATGTATCTGTTTGGCAAGTTTTAAAATAAACGCACTAAAAATTACCAGGTTCATAAAATAAACTGAATTGAATTTTAAAGTTTAAATGATAGAACTGGTCCTAAATATATTGAAATTAATTTTTACTGACAACTTTTTCTCTTAACCCAGTTAAAGACTTTCAGAGATGTTTTCTGTACCCAGTTTCAGAAGCTCTGAAAATTCAGGGAAAGGCATCCTCATGGAAAGCGTAAAGAATCTAATACTCGATTCTCACAGTATAATGTAATTTGTATTAAAGTCTACAGTTCAACTTATTGTGAAGAAACTTGCTATGTGAATGCTTGTTGGTAGTTTAACTCTTCCTTTCCATAGTTAGCTAAAAAATGTTAATTCAAATTACCTTTACTTTGAAAACGTAAATGGATTATAAATGAATGTTATCTATACAATCATTAAAAAATATTGCTGTTGTCTGGAACAACAACAGGAATTTGAAATAAGAGTATGTCATAGTGCCACTGTCCAGACAGAACTTCCCTCATAGCACACTGCATGGTGTATGCCTAGATGGTACTGCAAAAGTAGGACGATGAACCTCATTTCATTTTATTTCAAACCAAACCATTTAATGGTAAAATATATACAGACTAGCATGTCTATTTGAATTCTAACTTTATTATTCTTAGAATAGCTGCAAGTCTGTATTATCAAGACATTTAAAAAAGCATTAAGGGAGAAAATCATGTATGCAAAATGTTCAGTACGTGCATAGAAACAGGTGTCCTGGTACTACTTTCCAGTATTCGATGTGTCAACTAACCTTTTGCTTGATTTGGGCAAGACGTGGTTAATGTGTCCTTACACATAGGACTTTTTATAAAGACGTCTTGTTAGGATCAGTCTCTTTAATGCTTTTGATGGTCATTTGAGTGATTTGGAATCTCTCACAACCTTGAATATTGTGAAAGTCGAATCTTTAAAAGAAAAAGTAGGTCCCATGAAAATACAACATTCTTTACAAATGATACAAACAAGCCAGTGCCACATACAAGTGTTGGGCAATATTTTTCAATGAATCTCTTTGGCGGTTATCTTCCATTAATGGCATCTTAATTAAATGTTAAATAATGTTTTAACATAGATTGAATAATACGATGTACAAAAATGATTTATTAATTGTAAAACAAACTACATTTATTGTAGTAAATCATTATCTAATGTACAATGCCCTTTGTAATCAGGATGATGTTAGATGTATGATGTCATTCTCATGATTAATGACCTTTGTAGACCACTTTGGCCATAAATATCCGTATTCTGTATGTAATTGTTTGATTAATTATGTGATTAATCCCAATGAAAATATTATTGTGTGGTTTTTATAGATAATAAACAAAACATACTAGAAACTGTTGATATATGTAATTAGAACAATAAATCTTGTTAGTCATCATGCTTTACAGTCTGCTTTATAGAGGGGGTTTGGATGGCTGAATGGTTATCGCGTGCGTGCTGTATCATAAGGCCTGTCATTGAGTCAACTGGCGTGGTTTGGAATCCCCAGTTGTACGTGACAAGGAGAAGGGTCGCCTGTCCAACTTCGTGGGTTTTCTCTTGGTCCTCCAGTTTGTTCCCACTGCTAAACACCCCTACACGCAAACAAATTATTGAAATAAAATTAAACCATATGTTAGTCCCGAAATGACCTAGTTTGTGTCGCGTGGACGTTAAACCCAATTTCTCTCTTTCTGCTTTATAGACATATGATTTCGAGCATGGAGGCAAAAGTTTGGGTCCCTGTATTTCTCTATTTCTGTTGGAACATCAGCTGACATAGAATATACCAAAAGTGACTCTCACAGGGTTTCTTTTTTTCATAGAATATGAGTTGTGTTTTTATCAGTGATTCTTGTTTGAATTTATCCCTATTGTTCACAAAGTGTTCAGTGAAATAGATAGAAATGTAATGATTGCCCGAATTTCTGTGATTTTTTGGGTTCCTGTTTGAGTTTGAAACTTAATGTTCAAAGATTGGAATAGATAAAATGCAACGATCATCAAATTTCGGTGACTGTCTGGAACAAATTTTCTCCCGCCCGACTATTTGGTTTCGGAAACTCTAAATTGATTCCTTAGTTGCATAATATGTTCCCTTTTGAAAAAGACCATTTTATCATTGACAGCGAGGTAAATCAAGGGAAGGCTACAAAGGGGGAAACAATATTTGTTGTTGACTTATAGGAATAAGTATTAAATAATTTTTATTTCTGTTTTTCAGAGAGTGTGATTAAATGAATCGGAATAGGTTGTGAATATTAGTTAAACAGACTAAACTTCATCGAGGTATCTACATCAGCTGTCGTCATGCTGATATCCTAGTACAAAATGGCCACAAATTTCAGGATTATTTTTATTGTGGTTTTGTGTTTTTTGGGTGCAGCACAAGCCGATAGAGAAGGTAAGAGAGACACTTGTTCAATAACATACAAAACTACCCTTTTTGTAACGATTTTATGACATTATTGACCATTTTCAACCCGAAAACAGCATAAAATTTACACTACAGAATTACATGTATTTTGGGGTATACCCAAATTGAAACACTTGTTCTTGAGACATTACCAACACAATGAAAAAATATATTTTTACACAATAAAAACAAAAACATAGTTTGAATTTGATATCTTTGACGAAAAGAAAACAAATTCCATGCAAGAGTTCCAGCATACAGAGGGAAAAAGTGATCTTTTACGCTACAATGTAAAAGTTTATAAAAGCATTTTACTACTATGTCCGGTTTCTGATAAAAATTTTGTTTTTGTCGCCTGTATGATGTTTATTGCTCGCAAGTTATGACAAGGGAGTGACTAGTGGTAGTAATGTAATTCAACACATATGCTTAAAACTTCACTAAATCAAGATTTAAAAATTGTTTTTCTTAACTAAACAGTTTTTCCACGTCTGAAATCTGGATGAAATTGCAAAAACAGGATATGACTATCCTTAGATATCAATCAGAAGTTGTATTTTGAATAAATACGTTTCAGGAACTATTCATTTTCAGATGGAATTGTGAGGAGAAACTAGCTATTGTAAGATCTTAAAAGTACCACTTCAAATGTGTCTCCCCTTGTCAGTGGTGCAGAATTGAGGATCTGTCAATGAAAAGTGTCTAATCATTCGGATGGGACAGAAAATTAGGGTCTCTCATAGCACACTGCTGGACGTATGGGTGTCTTTATTAGCATCCCTGCATTGGCCGGGAAAGTTCGTCGGGATTTCCCAACGTGGTTCCCCCTTGTCAGTGGTGCAGGAAAGAGGACCTGACAAGGACAGCTGTCTAGTCGTTCAGATGGGACAAAAAACTAAGGACCTGTGTATACGTTGGCGTGCACATAAAAGTTCCCTTGGCAGTTGGAATTTGATATAAGAGTAGGCCATTGTGCCGCTGCCCAGGCAAAATTTCCCTCATAGCACACTGTATGGCGTATGCCTGTCTTCATTAGCCATGCTGGTGCTGAAAAGTAAGAGCTTGAACCCCATTTTATTTCATTTTCCTCTCCATAAACTAATTGTTTTGGCATGGATCTAAATACCGTAGAACAATAATTTGGAAATCAACTTTTTGAGTAGTCAGGCTAAGTGACTGCAAAAAAAACAATTTTATCGGGTGATGTAAAATTTCTCTGATCTCAAAAGTATCATGTTTTAAAAAAAAAATTGTGCTAGGAGAACACACACATATAATAAGAATCAAAACACATGCGTGACTAAAAATGATGAAAGGACATTTTAAATAGTTGTATTAATAAATTTCTTCTCTAAATGGACCCATCTGCATACCACACAAAATATGATTTCCGTATCCGTACAAAAGAATCGACAGGAACTCTATTTTTGTGTTGATTGAAGTTGTGTCGGGGAGAGAAAAACAAAACGAGATGCTAGAGTGATAATAAAATCACGCCACATGCCCTACGTATTAGGATTATGTCTTGAGCATAGGTCTTGGAATCTCGACTACGACCCGGAGTTCAGTTTACAATATCTAAACGTTTTGTGTATACACTTTCAATTTTGGGACATGTGCTGGCCATGCAAAGAGGAAACACTGTTTATCCAGCTAGATCAGAACTCGTGAAGAAGGAGATAATTATGGTAGGGGGGGAGCACATGACTTGTGTACTGAGAGTCTGATTGTCGAGCTTTTTGTACAGGCCTGCCTTTTCCTGAAATGACTGCAATGAAATTTCCGCCACATATGTTAAAGACAGGGTTATCAGGTCTCTTCGTTATTGTCTTTGGTTATTAGAGAATGTGGTAGGTGTCAATTTATCTGCAAGACATCAAAATCGTGCTGACATTCTGGACAACAAATATAATTTAATTCAATTGGAAACATATTTAAAACAGGAATAATTACCATTCTCAAGCAATACACAGTAAAAAATATGAGATTAATTAAAATGAAATAATTGGAATTCCTGACAACATGCATATGTTACATAATAACCAGGGGTTGTAGAGTTATGCCAATTTGAAACATTCTTGAATTTCTTTTCACTGACTTGTTAACAGAAAAGTTTAAACCGACGATATCGCAAAATAGAAAATGTCTGTGAGATTTAACTATTAAATGTCTGCTTTGTCTGGGTTGATATCGCAGACAAGAAAAAAGGAAATTGATCAGATTAAGCCTTTTATAGATGTTATTTAAAGGATGTACCTATAAGCTAAAATGCCAGGGTTTCTAAGCCTGAAGAATATAGTGAATCTAACTGACCTGTTCTGAGTTCCATGGTCAGCCGTCCTAGCGAATTACACATGTATACCCTGCTTGATTTCCACAAAGTGTAATGAATTTTAATCAGACACCCAACAAAGACATTTAGTAATCTGGGTTATTTTTTATACTGATTTATTTGCCTCACCTTGAGTTCAGACGAAAAAGTTAAACTAGCTCAAATATAATAGGCAGATTTAGCTCTTGCATAATGTATGTTTAAGTATACAGTAGTATACACTGTAAGTAGTACTGAAGTACCATTTGACATTTTTTATCGACTCAAGATAGTTGTACTGGTATTTCAACGAATATGTTTTAGATTTATTTTCATATTCTTAAAATAGATTTGGATGGAAATTGAAATGAACTGGAGATATAAAAGTATATATTGCTACTGTATATATAGTTGTAATGAATGTCACATGTCGAAGTTTCGTCAAGTGTCAATCAGGACATATTCTAGTACAATATTAACATTGTCTTATATATATAATATATATATTTTATATACTTAAATATGGTCTTGTGTCATGCTAAACATGCATTTCCCCGAAACTATTTATAGAGTAGTTATTTATTTTCAATAAAAGTATGGGATATTTTGTATGGGGCGCTCACAGGATGAAAATGTAAGGGTTTCACCTTCATGAAAGGGCAACTTGTCCACTTGTTGTCTGCTGAAGGGGGGGAGGGGGTCGATGGCCAAATGGTTAGCATGTGCAAGCTGTATCATACGGTCTGTCATTGAGTCAACTGGCAGGGTTTTAATTCGGGGGACCCGGTTGTACGTGACAAGGAGTAGGGTCGCCTGTCCAACCTCGTGGGTTTTCTCCGGGTCCTCCGGTTTCCTCCCACTGCTAAAGACCCCTATACGCCATCGAATTATTGAAATAAAATCGAACCATGTGTTAGTCCCGAAATGACCTTTTTTGTGTCGAGTGGATGTTAAACCCCATTTTTCTCTCTCTCTCTCTGCTCAAGTGATGTAAGGCATTCTTTGTAAGGGTTAGTGATTGTGAGAACAGTGAGAGACTAAAACTAAGAACATGTTTAGTTGTCATATTAAGGAGGGGTTATAAACAAAGTTGTACTTGTTGTTTTCTCTAATTGCTTTTTAAGTAGTGAAATGTGTCAGGGACAAGAGATAAGATTAAATAAATATTAATTTACACAGGTAATGAGGCATAAGTTTTAGCTTTTTGCCACATCAAAATTAGTCTATATGGATATATTTCATGTCCGAGTTTACAAAATAGTTTAAAAGAAATGAGCACAATGTCATCTGAAAACTTATTATTATTGCCTAGTAGGGCCATCTAATAGTGGCATAACAATATCAAAAATATTTCTCATAAACAGTGATTAAAGTTGAGTAAATACTGAACTAGCATCTGCCTTTTTTTTTTAACTTTCTTCCGGACATGTATTAATAATATCAAAACCACTTCTGGACAAAATGACAAGCGCTAAAGTGATCATGTCTGAGAAAGCCAGAATTGTGTTGGACACTGTCTATGATAGGTGCCTTATTTCAAGGCTTGCTCGTATGAAAACTGTTTCCTGGAGGAATCAGATATTTGCCAATCTTTAAAATAAACTTATTCAGATCATTTAACAATCAGTAAACTACTTAATTGTAAAGGCTGAATGGTTAGCGTGTGCGCGTTGTATCATAAGGTCTGTCATTGAGTCAACTGGCATGGTTTTGATTCCCCGGTTGTACGTGACAAGGAGTAGGGTCACCTGTCGAACCTTGTGGGTTTTCTCTGGGTCCTCAGGTTTCCTCCCACTGCTAAAGACCCCTGTGCGCAAGCGAATTATTGAAATAAAATTAAACCATATGTTAATCCCAAAATGACCTAGTTTGTGCAGTGGACGTGAAACACTCACTCTCTTTCTCTCTCTTAATTGTAAAGATAAGAAAATGACTGCTATAATCTATATAGGTATTTATAATTTATTTTAAGTATCATTTCATTCAAAAAATAAACTGAGTGTGAAGCAATTTAAGTGAACAAGATAAAAGGGTGATAACGGTGATAATTTATTTAATGTTATCGGCTGTTTTTTTTACCACCAAATGTTCTGTTACATGTGTATGTTTCTAAACCATATGGCTACACCCACATCATCGTACGTATCTCAATATTTTTCTTAGATTTAGTTAGTGTATAAAATGAAATGTGGTGTTAATGAAGATCATGGGCATAAACCATGTAGTGTGGTACGAGGGACATTTTGCCCTGAGTGCAACCTGCTATTATTTCAATTTCCACTTGTTAGTGGATCTTTAACATGCTGCCACTGATATACACAGGATTTCAGGTTTTCTTTCCATCTGAATGACATGGTCCTTTCCCTTTCTGTCTTGCACCAATGACAAGGGGAAACCAGGAACTTCCTCATCTGACACCTAGATTAAACATACGCCATACTCACTGGGCCAAAGTAACATAGGATGACATTTTTAAAATAAGACGACCCAGTTATCAATATCCTGTTCCCTTGTTTACTAAAAAATATTAGTCAAATATGTTTCCATGGAAACACAAGTATTAATAAATCCAAGAAAAAGTACAAATACTATAATAGGTTGATATGTGTACAAAGTTTCATAAAGATACCTTGAGATATGGTCCGAGGCGGAAAGATGGATGGAGCCCATTCTAATA